CTCAGTTTCATAGTCACATGATATGAAGGGTCAGATGACTGTACCCCTGTAATTCCTTGAAGAAGCTGTCCCTACCCACTGCTCCTCTTCCCACTTGTCAGCTTCTCCCGGCACTGACTCCAGTCCTATAAATAACATTTTATAACACTTCATTCTTGATTTCTCAGATGAAGGCGGGTGTGCTCTGGAAACTCTTTGAGTTTGTTCTCTGAAGATTCATATGGAGGAGACTTTGTCTCCAGAGTGGTGGGGCTGGGAGGCAGGGGCTTTTAATAGGTGAGGCTTCGCAGACGGTGAGCAGATCCTGGGATTGCTCTTTATAAGGGGTTGGTGCAGCTCTCATGGGGCCTGGGACTAGTGCTCCAGATTGGTTGAGTGTAGCCTAGTAGCTCATGCCCATAACTGCAGTACTCAGGAGGCAGAGGCAGGAGGCCCACTGTAAGTTCAAGGCCAGCCTGGCTCACATAGTGACTTCCTACAATTCAGACTTTGTCTCATAAAACAAAAATAAGAGAGAATAGCTCCTGAGTTACTTGGGCTTCCTGTTTTGCCATGTGACCTCTCCCTTCTGCACACACTGCCACCATCCACCCATGCAGTGACTCAGCCAAGGAGCTTGCTCTTACCAGAGGCCAAACAGTTGGGGTCATTTGAGTAAATAAACTTCTATTCTCCAAAACTGTGAGCTAAATAAGCTTTTTGTTATAGGTACCCTACTTCAGAGATTTTGTGGTAGCCACAGAAACAGATAAAGACAATGACATTGAGAACTTTTAGACTCCCATGTAGGACTTAGCTTCGTTTCTCACCCTTAGCATACTTGTCTATTTTCTACTTTCTTATTTTTATAGAACAATAAAGGCACAATATTGGTTAGCTCAACATTTAGTTCTTATGTCATCTTGGCTGAGCCACACCAAATATTAAAGGAATGAAACCTGGTGTCTTCTTTGATGTTGTTTTACTGTTGTTAGCTTTCACTGCAATGCCATCAGTATCTAAAACATTAAAATTATTGTGATTTAGGGGCTGGGGAGATGGCTCAGCAGGTAGGAACACTGTTGCTCTTGCAGAGGGACCAGAGTTAAGTTCCTAGCGCCCACGTTGGATCCAGTGCCCTTTTCCCCACAGCCAGGGGATAGCTCCATTCTGCACTGCTGTTCCCCAGGTCTGTACAACGGTTGTTTTCCTGGGGTATCCCCTCATCCTCTCAGGAGTTTCCTCTTTCTTTCTACTGCTTAATCCTTTTTCTGTATACATTTAGGTATGTAGGTGGAAAGTGGTTTTCCACAGAAATTCTGAATGCATTGGTTTCATTTTCTTTTAGCTTCCAACATCATAGTTCAGAAGTCTGAGTCTAGGTGCTTTGGATAAAACTCTTCCTCTCTTTAGAGCATTTTGAGATCAAGTTTGTCTCTAATGTCACAATGATACGCTTTGGCTTTGTCTGGTTTTACCTGCTTCTCAGGGCTTTTGGTTGCTTCCTCTAGTCTAGTGACTTCAGTTCTGGAGTTTCTCTTCATCTACTCTATGGACGACACATTCCTGTCCACTTTCTGTTCTCTTTGCCAGAGGTTCTGCTACTCAAAGGCTGGGCCTCCTGGACCTCATTTCTCTTCTGATTTTACAATTGTTTCTTTACTCTTCTTTTTGGGAAGTTTCATCAACTATCTTTGCCACATTTCCAGTGTAGATTCAATAACTGCTACACATCTTAATTTTCTGGAAATCTCTTCACGATCCATCCTCTGTTCCTTCAACACAGCATTTACTTCATCTCACAGACTGCAGTTCCTCCTAGCATAGTCCCAGCTCTTCTGGGCTACGCTGCTTTATATGTTTTCCTCAAGGATCTAGCTGTTTGCTCATCTTTAGACATGAGGTAGCCAAGTTCCAGCACTTAGAATGCTGATGCAAAAGGATCACAAGTTCAAGGCCAGGGTGGACTGTATACTGAGACCTTGTTAATATACATATTTACACATAGATACACATATATGTGTAAATACACATACACACATGCATATACAAACACACATGCATATGTGTGTGTATGTGTGTGGGGACATGAGATATCATGTAAAATTTTTCTGAGTCTCATCATAGGTAGTCAGGTTTGGCTTTGCTCAGTCATGGTTTCTGTAGGGTAAAATTGCCAGAATTCTAGATGTCAGGGAAGGAAGAAAGCTGGGGATTTCAACTCCGTGTGATCTCTTAATCCCCATCTTTAGTATTAGACCCCTGACCTCAGAGCCCATCCTCAACTCCATCCCTTCTGGGATGAAGGCTCTGTCTCTCTATGAGGTTCCGGTGATGGGGCTTCCTGTCTTTCAGGTACCCTTCATGCTTTCAGTATCACTCTTACTCCTCCACCCAGAGTCACCTGTTGATGCCAGGTATGTGGGGTATGTGGGGCTCTGTGGTACCAACCAGCTCTCCTTTCTCTTGTCACTCCAGTTTAGGATTAAACTGTCTCAGGTCTGGTCACTATGTGCTCGTCCGCTCCAAGTTCCAATGTTGTGCTGCTTTTGTCCTTCCTCTTTTCTTAGACTGTGTTTATTCTGCTATTACTTTAGGGGGACTTGGAGGGAAAATAAAGGTGTTCAATTTGCTATTTTCACCAAGAACAAATCACTGTTCATTGTGTGCTAACGCATATGTCTTACAAATCAAATGCTGAAGATCTCACGAATGCATTTTAATTAACATCTACAGAATTGACAATATTAAAAGAGACTGGAAGTTAGGCCTGGTGGCTTATGCCTGTTACTGCAACACTTGATAGTCTGACGCATGAGGATTGTCACAAGTTGGGGTCTAGCCTGGGTAACAGAGTGAATTCAGGCCACTATGGGTCACAGAGTGAAATGCTGTCTACTCAGGGGAAGGGGAGGAGGGAATTCCTTGATTATGGTTTCCTAGATAAGTAAATAACTGTATATTGTCACTCAAGGAGAGAAAAAACAGTCTTTTTAGGTCTGGTGACAACCCCAGGTCACAAGAGCATGCGGTCATCTGATTGTTCTATCTTGCATAAAATCTCAATGACAATTCATTCAGCAAACCCCAGGCAACCTATCACCTTAGAACTAAGGAATTAAATGGGCTTTGGGAGCTCTTAAGGTTGATCTTTCCCTCCAGCTGGCTGTTATGTAACCAAGGAGAGTTCCACATGTAGGATGGGTTTATCATACCTTTGAAAAACCAGGGGACATCAGGTTCTCAACTCGGTACAAGGGAAGGTAGGACCCAGACATATGGCAAAGCTGTCCACCTAGCACCTTAGATACTGATGACCACCCATTCTCAGAGGACCTGGGCCAGCTCTTGTATCTCTGCCCTTCTTTTCTGGTCAACAGTCAGGTGACCAATAGAGTTCACAGACCAAACTGAGGAGAGCTCAGTGCCTGAACCCTCATCAGGCAATCTTTCAAAGCTCCAGACCTCCTCACACAGGCAGGACTTGCACTTAGATTTCCTATATGATCAGTTTTCTTGCTACTGTGAGAGAAGACAACCTCAAATAAGGCTAATGTTCAAGAAGTAAGAGATACTAACTTTATAAAAACCAATCTCTTTGGGATTGGCAAGATGGCACAGCAGGTGAAGTCTCTTCCTGCCATGTCTGACAACCTGAGTTCAATCCCCAGGACTCTTAGAGACAACCAGCTCCCAAAAGTTGTTCTTGGACCGCCACACTCAAGTCATCACACACACACACACATACATACATACATACATACATACATACATACATACATACACACACACACACTAAATAAGATGTAATAAAAACTTTAAAGACTTTTTGGGAAAGTCTCTAAAGGACAAATGAAGAAAAAGTAAAGTCATGGGCACTTTCCAGCACACAGCAGTGAAATGGTGAAGGCAGCATAGCCCAGCACAAACCTATCCAGTCTTAATAATGACCACATTCATCAGCGTGGCAGAATGGGTTCCAGCTCTTCCTTCTACTGAGAAAATCTGCTGTTGGGCTGCAGAGATCGCTCAGTGGTTTAGAACACTTGCTCCTCTTTCAGAGGACCTGAGATAGGTTCCTCCTACCCAGGGTGGTGACTCACAACTGCCTATATATCCAGCTCCCAGGAATGTGATACCTTTTTCTGGCTTCTGAGGTCACCATGTGGCATTCACATACATACTTAAATAATAAACATCAAAAATTTGCTGTAGTAGAGCAGATTTCAGACAGTGCATCATTTTCACCTGCAAATACTCAAATGCAATCTCTAACTGTTCAGAATATTTTTATTTGAATTTATATAAAATACAATACTATTATTGTCTCTAAAGTAACTCATTAATATCATCTAATACCCTGGCCTATTTTTAAATTTCCCACACTATCTGAAAAACACCTTTTCATCAAAGGTTAAAAATAAAGAACAAACACTTCATGTGTTTGTCTCATTTATCTTCTAAGTTTCTTGTTTGGTTGTTGAAAATTGTGTGTGTGTATGTGCGTGTGCATGTGTGTGTGTAAATATATATATATATACATACATACATACATACATACATACATTAGGCATCATTTCAGAAAAGTGTTCAGTATACTCCAGTTGGTGGTAGTGAGTAATATAAGGGTTTTCTGCTTTGGTAGGTAAAAACCTAAAAACCAACACTTCTGCTCATCCCTCTGCTTCCACATCCCTCCTGTTTTGAAATTTTTCTTTTAGTACTACCACCAGGGATTTGCCTTCTCTTCTATTTCTTTTCCCTTCATACTCAGCTGCTATGAGCTGAATGGCTGCCATGTACTAGATGTACTATACACTTGAACCCACAGAATACTCACCATTTCGTAGAGGTGAAGCGCCAGAGAATCCAGGGAGCTTCTGCAGGCCACTGGGCCCTGGCAACCAGACTTTTGCCAGTGTCCGACTACTCTGGAAAGCAAGCACTGACCACCAGGCAGCATAATGGAGGTAGACGTCCATGCCAAGAGGTCCCTGCTATATTTATAGCTAGACCAGTACCTGCTCCATGAAATCCCCCGCAGACATAGAGCTTCCCATCCACTGCACCCGCGTTGGTGGAATTGGTTCGCAGTGAGAGGAGGGGACTTGGCATAGGTGGGCCTTCCCGCCAGAAGTCCCCGTCAGGATTGTAGATCTCCACCACATCAAGGCATTTCCGAACTTGTCCCCTGTCTCGGCCCACACAGCCAATTCCGCCTAAGAGAATGAAGCACAGAAATGGGGGTGTTTGGGAGCAGAAGCCTTACAGCGGACATCCTCCCTTCCTAGCGCAGTTGGCAGCATCGGCTCGCTGGCCTTTTCTTTGGCACCTATTTCAAAGGTAATTTCTGTGACAGCAATGTCTTTCATGTGTTTCACAGACAAACTTAATGTCACTGTGTCGCTGCAATGCAGTATTTCCCGTTACTTAGACATAAGAATCATTCGGAGTAGACCCTGCAATGTCGTTCGCACAGTGAGCACTCCCTTTCCAGTAAGAATATTGGTTGTTAGCAATGATTTCATGGATGTAGCAATCAAGGACTATCTTTTCCATGCCTCATCACTGCAGACTGCCCTCTTGTCTTCATGCTTTTCCATTTGAAGAGAGAAGGGCTCTTCGGTAAATTTCAGGTTTGAGAGTAAAGGAAGACCGGAAGAACTGGGAGATGAAATGCCTAGCCGGTCTCTTCCCTTACTGGACACCATGGTTTATTCAGCAGATGCTCACTAAATGCTCACTGTTGGCAAGATAACGGTAGGTGACAGCTCAAAAAGATGGGTAAGCTGTGCTCCCACCAACTCTTTAGAAAGTAACGGAGCGAAGGCAGGGCACGGCGGTGCATGCTTTTAATCCCAGCACTGGGGAGGCAGAGGCCAGCATAGGGAGTTGACATAGCAAGTTCCAGGCCAGCCAAGGCTACACAGTGAGACAGCCTCCAAACAGCAAGAAGTTAACAGAGTGGAAGGGGCCATACATGTAAACAGATTAAAAAGTAAGGCAAGAATCTCAAGGGCTACTTCAGAGGTTCAGGGATGGAAACAGGGAGCAGACATAATACATACAGAATTAGGATTTTAAGCCCAATTGTGTAAGATTTTCCAACCCATTGTGACCAGAAACATCAATCTGCTGCATGCATCTTGTTTTTATTCTCTCCTCCTGTGGTGAGTTGAATGAGATGCCCCCCAGAGTCTTGAGGTTTAGAATGCTTCATCCCTGGTTGGTGTTGTTGTTGGGGGAAGTTTAGGAGGTGTGGTCTTGCTGGAGGAAGAATGTCATGGGGGGCACGTCACTAGGGGTGGGCTTTGAGAGTTCAAAGACCTGTGCCATTCCTCAGCTTTGCTCTCAGCTTCCTGTTCACAGTTTGAGATGTAAGCTCTTAGCTTACTGCCCCAGCTGCCACGCCAGCCTGCTTTCCCTCCGTGGCAATGGACTCTTATCTCTCTGGAATGGTAAGCCAAAGCAAACCCCTCCTTCTGTCCTTCTGTAACATGCCTTGGTTATGGTATTTTATTGTGGCAATAGAAAGTTAACTAAGACACCTCCTAAGTCCCAAGACAAAAGGTTTTAAAGTGTGAGGGTAAGGTTTCTGACCTACAGGGCAGCTCCTGAGTTCGAGGCAGATTCCCTGGAAGAAGGGACAGTTTTGTATTTGCAATTGTTCTCATCACTACCCTGTTCTATTTAGACCCACTGCTGATATTTGTAAGCTATAAAAGGACTGCAGAGTGTTGGCCATGGCTACACCAGCTCTCAGGGAGGATGTTCCTGGAAGGGCCATTGATATGTGGGGTGATGAGTACTGTTGGGGCACAGTGTTTATCACAAACTCAAAACTAAGAAATACTCATGGCCTTTATGGTAGACTCCACGTTCTGAGAAGTTGGTCGCACAGCCTCCTCTCTTCTTCACTGCTACTTAGACTCTGCCCTTCGCTGACTCAGTCAGGCAGCATCTTCGCCATCACCTCTGACCCCACCTTCAGCACCTCCAACAGATCCTGATATGTCATCTGCCTGGAACGAATGAACGAGTACGACATGTTCCGCCCCCACGTTCTCGCTGCCACTCTTTCCACACTGTACTCCTTGTCTGTCCAGGTCTGGGTACTGTAAGCTCCTGGAGGGCAAAGGTCGCATCCTCATGACTGTGCCTGCCATACAGTCTCGATGAATTCAGGGATGAGAGCTGTGTGTTTCTCCATAAATGGGTCTTAACCCAGATTCTGAAGGTGATAAAAGACTGGAGGGGTCTCTCGCTCTTTGGTGATGTCACTTGGTCAGTTCTCACAGCATGAACCCAGAGACTGAGGATATGAGCTCAGGAAGCCCTTAGCTGTCTTCTCTCTTATCTGCCTAGACACATAATTTAGCCCACTATGAAGCCAAGTCTGAGTTGCTGTGTTTTGAAGGAGGGGACACATGGCCTCCACAACTCTGTGTTCACGGACAGGCCCACTTTCAGTGTGGCACTGCAGTAGCGGGAAACTTCCTAGTGGTAGGAAAAAATGGAACTTCCTACTACTGGACAAGAGGTCATGCAGATTTATCTGTGGCGCAGAGCTCTGCAAGGTAAAAGGATGATGAGCCCTCCTGTGAGAGGCAGGAGACATGCTTTGGCGTTGGTTTGTGTTGCGACCATGTTAGAACAGTAAGTGAAGCAAACAGTCTAGAGAAGTCTCCAGGAGCTGGTTTGTGGCACCCAGTGCACCAGCATCTTGAGTCTAACTCCACATTGTGGGTATCACTCTTGGTTGTCTGAGATAATGAGAGTGCTTGTCACCTTTGCTCTGCTACATTTAATTTCTACATTCAAAGCTAGCCTTGTGAAACGTGTCCATTCTCTTTGGTGAACAGGTAGCTAACATGCTCTGTCCCACCCCTGGGTGACCTCCTTCCACTCCTGGGTGAGCCGAACTTACTATGTGCTCTGTATCTGTCTTGGCTGTGAAGCTTGAACTCAGTCTCTGTGTCGCGGAGTGTAATTTCACCTCAAGCACACTCCATTAGCAACAGGCTTAATGAGCTTAGACTGAAGGTGAATCTTGATTAGATAAATAATCAAATAAAGGCCTGATCTTTATTAATAAGTCAGCACTGGCTCTACACGCATAGCCTTTGATGAGAGGAAGCCCAGGGTGTGATCTGCAGCTGCAGAATGTCAATAAGTCAGCTCAGTGGCTTTAATCTATGTGCTGCCAGAATTTCTGAGCACGATGTTCCCTCACTCAAAACCGAGCAAATGAACAGAAATTACCTTCATAGATCATGCCCAAATGCACCCCACATGCAAAATATATACCTAGATTATTTGGGCGTGGGAGGGGGAAGAAAATTACAACTTGCCACTCTTTCTTCATTTTATTCCCACAAAGATAAAGATTCCTTCTTCTGATGTTAGGCTATGATAGGTTCTTTCATTTCTGAGGGTGTGTGGGAGTCAGCTTGTCCTCCCACAGAAAGCCTGGCAGACAGCTGGCTGAAGGCACAGGGACTTGCCATCCAGTTGCCCTGAATACAGCCCATACCCTTCCCCTACAGGGCAGCCTCAAGGTGGCAGGCTTATTCTATCCTGCTCTGGGTTCCATCCAAAGCAGGGGAAGGATTTCATTAACATTTATGTATGACAAATGCCCAAAGTTGCTTGCATTGCTAAACCAGGCTTAGGGGTGGGGCACTGACTGTGGGGGTGGGGTGGGGGGCATCCACTTGCCATGGTGAAAGCATGTGGGCCTTTAGAAACAGATCCTGGTTCACATTCTTGTGTCACTACTTGATAGCCAAAGGCAGTTGATGGATTTAATTCTTCTAAGCCTCAGTCACTCTTAACTGTAAACCAAGGATAATAATGCCAATTTCATAAAGTATGGCAAGGATTAAACTGTTTAGATAATGACCAAGAAAAGGAGAAAACCAGGAGGAACTCAGGGCATTCATGGGTATCACCAAGGAAATTTTCTTTTATGGATTTACTCTTGTATACTGCATCTAAGCAACATGGCACACATGCAGCTGGTGCTCAGATGATGATTATTTTCTGTCATGTTCTGTGGGGTTTTAAGTACACCAGTATTTTCTGAAATTGCTGAGATCTTCTGATTACCCTCAGTTGAATTTTTATGTGTACAATTGTTGGTTTCTTGATGTAGGGTCAAATGTTCTTAGACATTTCTTTTGAAACTGGGTAGAGGGAATCAGGTTAAGACAACCAAAGGCTGTGGTAGTGCATGTTTGTAATTGCATGCTCATAATCCCTACACTTGGGAAACTGAGCAAGAGGATTGGCATGAGTTTGAGCCTAGCCTGGGCTACATAGTAAGTATGAGGACAACCCAGACTACTTAGTGACTACCAATCCAGCCAGGGATACAGGGTAAGACTCTCTCAAAAAGCCAAAACCCATCAGGCATCAGATGCTCTCTCTGGCAACACAGAGCCACTTACCAGCCATAAGCATGTGAGTTGTAAGAACTGTGGGGAAGAACATTCTAGAAATCTTGAGTTTCTTGGAGCAAAAGTGGCCCATCTCTTGAGCTGCCAGGCTTCTTTCTGGCCCACAGGGGACCTCAGCCCCCGCCCACTAATGGGATGCTTTGATAATTTGCTCCATTCTCATGCAACTTGTCAGTTCTCTAGCCCCCGCTCCACAGTTATTTTAAAATTCTAGATTTCAAGCCTAAAATCTTTAAAAAAAAAAAAAAAAGAAAAAGAAAAGCATCTTGTCACTTTCTAAAGCCTAACACAGGGACTCTTGGGTGTTTTTAGTAAAAAAAAAAAAAGTTCTTACTTCCTCTTACCAAATCCTGGATAATGCTAGCATTGCTAACCAATAGTGTGCTTTGGGTTCAGAGAACTTGGGTTGGTGGTTCCCACACATTTCTCGCCAAGCTAAGAATGTTAACAATCTGCTTTGCATTTTATTTGCTACCACAACCCACTCCCCCTACATTCCAAAGAAACCAAAATTCTAGGGGTAATAAAAAGAACAGCAGAAAGACCAAGTTTCATGTATTAGAGCTTGATTTTGGAGAGAAAAACTCTCATCTTTGAACTGTTTTGTGCTTTCCAAAAAGAAATGAGAAAGGCAAAGAGACAGTTCTAGAACAAGACAATCAAGAAAAATAAAGTAAGAATGCAGAAAGCCCTGGAGTGGAACTGCTGGTGCCATATAAGCTGCAGTTGCAAGTCCTGTCCCAGTAGACTGAGCAACCCTT